ATTTCGACTCCTCTGCCATCGCTACTGGTGTTGAAGATCTTGACGTCGGACGAGATGGCGGCCCTGGGGCGGCACTAGCAAGGGGAACAGCGTCGGTTGCCAACGTCGGAGGTGAGCTCCAGATTTCGGCGCAGGCTAACGGGCTACTCCTCTCTGAGTGCCTATTCCTTCCCGTCGACTCTGTTATGGATGATGCGGTTCCCCACGTTGTTCACGTGAGTTTAACTTTCTGGTTTGAACCGTGCTTTGCCCTTTATGCCTGTTTCCTCCTGCCATTCCTAAATGCTAAAAGTCGAGGCCTGTACTGTCGCGAACGCCGGTGCGACAACTCGGTGCGTAGGTCAGATTTCGACGACACCTTTACTATGACATTTTACTAATTGTCACTGCTGTGAGTTCCGAGTTAGAGATTCCTGTTTCGTCTAGATTGGCGTACTACGCCCGCAACTAATTTCAGTTGTCTTAATATTATCCTGCCATCGTCGCCATGTAAACAAGCAATTGCACTTTTCGCCAAGCACAACGGACAAACCTTGGTTTTTACGTCTGTCGAAGTCTCGAGAGACCTTGTCCGTCCTCTTAGAGTTCATTTGGGCGGTTTAGCGACTTTATTAGCTGCCATCCTGGCGGATCGAATGTAGTTCGAACCTCCCATATTTTTTTTGGTTCCTATTAGGTTTATCAACAAAATATCCTACAGGAGTTTACCCCTTTTATGAAGCTGGTATCATAATTTTTTGATGCACTTTCGAACGGAAAGGTGGCCGGAAATGAGGGTGTCCGTATTTCAGGCTACTTCCCACACATTATAACGCTATTTTTGCGCGGAAACCTTTCCATTTACTACCGTAGATCTAAGCCGAAGCAGCAACCACAAGCTATGTAGCATATCGTTGTTGGATGCTTTTTCCACTGTTTCTCTATGCGTGCATATTTTCAAACGTATTTCGTGGTCTCTTGTCCACTATTTGCCTGAAACGTGCCAGATTGTTTGCTTTGATTTAGAGCTGCGGTTACGTTATGGGTAAGGGCACTGTTCGAAGTTGGGGAGAGGGTTAGGGTTAATGTTGGAAAACTAAAAGGGGTAGATGTCTAGTTTACCTCGCGGATAAACACACGAAAACCCCATCTTTTTGTAATACGGGACCGAATGTAATCAAGGTTATAGAGCGTGGGTAATACAGGGGAAAGGAAATGTAAATGATAAAATAAGGTCGATAAACGTAGAAAAAGGAGGAACAATTATTCAAAGAATGTAATGGTTGTCAACAAAGAGAGCGCCACAATTAGAATGTGCAACTACATAAATATTGGGAACTTCGCAGACTAGAAAAAACTAAACAAAAAATTTAAAAAAATGTTTTCGCATTTTCAGTAGGCCTACTTTCCGATTATTTTCCCCCCTTTTTGTCGCCGGCCACAAATAGTCGGGCTACTGAAAATTTGAATGCATTTTTTAAATTATAAATCGTAGACAAAAGCGACCCTTACAGACAGCCCATATAGTAAACTAACGTTGGCTAAACTCACTTTATTAAAAAGTAATCTAAAACTTAAAAAAACAATAAAAACATAATAATGAACTGAAAACTAAACTATAAACAACTAAAATATATATAAGTTAAATAAACCAAATTAACTAAACTAAGATAGAGTAAACTACTAAAGATTTTAATTCACATATTCATCGTATGTGGGTAATAAATCTAAAAGTAAACAAAAAGAGTAAGCTAAAACCTAACTAAACTAATAAAGCAAAGATAGTCTGCAATAAACTAAACTAAGTAAACTAAAAAAGTCATCAAAAAACATTGATAAAACGGATAAACCTCAATGCTAAACTGAAAACAAAATTAAAACAGAATATAAAAATAAAATAAACTATAAATAAGTAAGAAGTATGACGAAGTAAATTTCTCTTTTTATTTATGGTGCGCTTTTTGCTAGACATCTACCCTAAAAGGCTGTGTGACACTTATCCAGGCTAACGTATGAGAACTTCAGAAGCTTCGACTTGTTCCTTCATGTAAACTGGTACACTCAGTCTAGTTACGAAGTAATTGACGGTTCTTGTATAACCTTGTATTGACTATCCGTAAGCAGGCTCTACTGTCCGCACTAGGCGCTCTGTGGATAAGCCCTGATTAACTTACGCCACATCATATGTTTTGCATTTTGTTGGTCTCAAGCATATTACTCATGCAACCAGGGTTA